TTCACCCGGCGGCAAATGGGAGTGCTGAACGCATGGTTCAATTCACAAAAAAAAAACTATTCAAAGAATTGAACATGGCGACATCCACGAAAAAATCACCAAAATGCTTCTGATCCAACACATCACGCCCAACACCACGCCCAACAAGAGCCCAGCAGAACTACTCATGGGCAGAAGACTCCAGTCACCCCTAGATCGTCTGCACCCTGCTTACACCCCAGAGAAACCCCCGGGATCCTCTAGCAAAAACCGTGCCTTCAAGGAAGGAGACACTGTTTTTGCAAAAAACTTTACTGGAGACCCACTATGGCTTCCTGCGAAAATCACCCAGATCACCGGCCCTCGATCCTACTGACTCGAAACTACTGATAGCAGGTGTTGGAAATGCCATATTGACCAGCTAAGGTCCAGGCTGGCCATTTCTCCCCTCACAGACTCTAACCAAGAAATCAGAGGGTGGGGAGAAACCGCAAACTCTGAACAAGAACTGGGTTCTGAACAAGCAGAACAACCCCCATTAAACAGAAACCAAACATTTAACCAACTAGACTTACCAGTTGACAGGGAGCCGTGGCAGACAGGTTCTTCGCCTGGAAGTAGCAGCTGGACAAGCTCTACCAGCCCAGAAAATCCAAGCGGGAGCAACAGAGCAAACGACTCAACCGACCCGGATACACCAGGTGGGAGTCGCAGCTATAGGCCCGGCTCACCCTTCCAGGCGGTTCCTTCGAGTAGCTGGAGAGCGACGTGGAGCCCGTCCGAACCTGACGATGACCAAAGACATTGTGAACTGCATAAGTCAGGTAGATAGGTCCGAAGACCCGCCTACTTGCGCGACTACGTTTCCCTGCCCCTCGGACGGAACCAAGAGGGGAGGGATGTTCTGTACTAGCAGGCTTGAAGGCCCCCATTCCTATTGGTCCGGAAAAGTCGGGCCATGATTGGTCATTATGGGACACTCTGATTGGCTCATATAGAGCTTGCCGCGATTGGCTAACACCAAGCGCAGCAAGCTCAAAAACCTGTCATTGGCTGCCTAGCCGCGGTCAGCTCTATAAAAAGAACAGCTGCGGCTAGGGTTTTTGTCTCAGTATCTGGTTGCTTAATAAAGAGCTGTTGTTCAGTACTACGAGTCTCGTCTCTCTTTGGGACCCACCACCCAGACTTAACAAAAAATATATTTATCTTGCTTCATTCTATAACTGTCAGTTTAACTTGAGTGTTCTTCTTTAATTATAATATTTAGTTCCTCCAGTTCCCTCTGGTGTTCAAGTTTTAAAGTCTTGCCTTAACATTAAAAAAATGGATACTTTCTGGATGCTTGACAAAGTATCTCAAACACACCTTTGGAACAGGGCCTCAGTTTGGTGTATGTATATTATTATTAGTCCCTTTAAAATTATTTACTTATTTAGGGTATGGCTTATCATACATGGACTAGCAATATATATTAACATTTCATCTAGAATTCTAGATTAATAAAACATTATAAAATATGTTAAAAAGATCGATGTTTAAATGTCAGTGTCTAGCCCATCTAATCATTGAAGTGCAGCATCGTTTATATTAAAACAAATCAGATACTGGACTGGCATATGCCCTCCATTTACATTTGGTCACAAGTTGATCGACAGTTTGATGTGGGACCCAGTAGTCACACTGAGGGGAGGAAACTATGGCACATTTATACAGAGAATGCTGGCAGATGCCGTGTGAGGTGCAAATCTTATTCAGGATTGTCTATTGTTGACATGGTAGTTCAAAGCCTGTCACCTTTTTTTTGCGGGGGGGGGGTGTCATTTATAACTCTTCCTATGTCTGGCCATTCAGTGACTCATTTGGTTTTCCACTGGGAATCACTGTTAAAATTGTTGGGAATAAGTCCCTTTGAAATCCTGACTCTGTTCAGTTCATTACAAAAACAGTAACTATTCCAAATACATCTAGACCTAGAGCTTTCGAGACACTGCATCTAGCAAAAAACAAATTCTGGTTTCTCTGATATTATTTCACACTCCTCATATATTTAATATTGAAGATTACTTTTAAGACAAAACCTTATTTGAGTCACTGTAGATTAGTAGATGATTGAACAACAAGAAGCTGTGCCCAAAGTGGTTGCTCCTCATAGAGGAAAGCTTTGTTTTACTGTATTTCCCACATAGAAGTTAATGGTGAAACCTTTTAATACATGAAGGGAATGTTTCACATGATTCTAAAGTAGGAGCATCTTTCCACAGCTTCCCTCACTGTGAGGGAATATTAATATTAATGTCCATTATTAATAACTTAGGCTGTTTGTGCATATTAACTTACATTGTAGTTAGAAGATGGAATATAATTAATGTCCATTATTAATAACTTATGCTGTTTGTGCATATTAACTTACATTGTAGTTAGAAGGTGGAATATAATATTTAGACCAGGAATAGGCAACCTGGAACTCTCCAGATATTTCTATTACAATACCCACAAATCCTGATTGCTGGCCATAGTGACAAGCTTATAGGAGTTGTAATATAAAACATTAAGCTGATGCCCAAAGATGCCAATTGTTTGGTGTCTACCTTAATTCTCCGTACTCTCATGACTCACTTTCTTTGCAAGTTACCAATTCTCAGTACAGATTCTGACTGAGATTGTCAGTCCTGATGGAATCATATATTTGGGCTTTTTTTTATCTTTCACCTGGCATTTGTTGACATCTCACAGTGGGGAACCTCTGACTCATCCTAGAAAATGTGACAGGAAATAAGCTCTATTTAACTCTTCTGGATACTTGGATGGTGCAAGTGACAGTTTCTATGCCACATGCCTTTGGAAGTCTCTTGACAAGCATTCAGTAGAAGCTTTTAATACTACAGAAAAAGCTGTGTGCTATGGAAGGCATATTAACAGGGCATTGTTTCTCTCCTCTCCTCAGCAACATGGGTAATTTGCAGCTAGACCTTCCAGAAAAATAACAGAATCTGTGTTTTCTATTATCCAACACTAACACCGATTTAATGCCAGAGCTGAGTATCCCTTCCCTAATAGACGTGAAATGAAAGAAGCTTGTTTGAGGATAGAAAAGTAGAATCACTGTTCAGCATTTTAAAAATCATGAAGGATGTGTGCTATACTACTAGAAAGGCAGAGCACACAAACTTCAAATGATATTCTCTTTGGAATATGAGAGAAACGTTCTTGGCTTTTGCTGATTTTTCAAAGAGTCCTAAAGTAACTACTATAGAAGGGCCTCATGTCTCAAGAATGGAAAACTAAAGAAGGGTGGGGCGGGGAGAGATTTAATTATTCAGGATATATGTGTTTTGCTTGTAGTTCATGAAGCTCGAAAGCAGAATAGCAGTGTTATGTCCATAGTCCATGCCTTGAGATTTGCAAATTAATTTATGGTTAGGTTATGTCATTGATTCCTAATAATGTCACAGAGTTTAGTGATGCTTGTATAAGCACTCACAGCGCCACTGGCTGCTCTAGCTGGGGGGGTGGGGGTTCCAGTGATAAAGTATTACAATCTATGAGTAAGAAAAATGCAATATATTTCTTCATTTTTAAATATTTATATGCCATCCCTCAGATGCTACGATTCCTAGATGGCATTCAGTAAGTAAGAGGCATATTATCTGAAGACAGACAACAGGGATTCCAGCCCAAAATGATTCATTTTTATGCACAATTTGTGGTATATGCACGCATAGGGGTACAGACAGACACAGACAGAGATGTCTGGAATATTCTTAATTTCATCCATGAGGTTTTAGGAATAGCTAACCCCAAAAAAGCCATAAGGAAGGTCTTTGTTATACTTGACAATTTCAAGACCACAGAAACTGATACTCTTTGTTGACTATCTTCTGGGCACAACTGTAGTAAATCATGAACATATATAAATTATAGCTTTGAGTCAGATTTGACTATTGGTGCCTGCATGGGAAGTTCATGTAGTTTCCTAGGTGGCATGTTCAGAAGTGCTTTGCAACTGCCTTCTTCCTAAGAGGGTAGGAATTAGAGGGTAGGAATGATGACAGAGGAGAATATTTGTAGCTCAGGGTTGAAATGAGGGGTCCTTGGTGCTGTCTGAACTTGGATGTTTTATTGCAGAAGTTTCATGATCAAACTAGGTAATATCATCAGTGCCCTGATGGTGTTATCTAGTTTGGGCAATCAAACATCTGCAGGAAAACAACCAAGCTCAAATGGTAGGAGTGGCCCAAAGTTACAAATCTGGCTTTTATGCCTAAAACAAGAGAAACATTGCCTTAGAAGCTTAGATTATCCAGAAGCACAGAGGAATTGAGCAACTCTTCCTTTCATCCTTAACTCTAACTTTTTCATATAACTCACAGCCTTATGATGTCCTTGCCTCACCATTTTTCACTACACCCCCCCCCCCCGCCCTAGATGTAACAGTTTCATAATGTGAGGCACACATTTAAGTACCCGCTTCCAAATGCAATAATGAACTGTCCACAAAAGAATATTTGTCCTAATTGGTTGCTTGGAATAGTTGCTGTCCACAAAGAAGCTTCTATATTTGAGGGAATTATTGCAAGCATTGCATTCATTGATTGATTGATACTGGCCACCCAATTTATAAAATGTGGGGGTTGGCCAGAGATATTTCATCTTGAAGTCTCTTCCCTCTGAAATGGGTCTCTCTCCATGAAGAATTGGGATACCAAATTTCTTTCCATGTTTCCTTCAGAAGGCAACTTGAATAGGGGCAAGCAAATGTGTGTAGGCTGGATGAAATGCAAACTGAATTTAATATGTTTGTCTGTAAATGCTACAGGATTTGTCTTTCGCTGTAAGAAACTAATACGACTACCCTTCCAGAACCTGGATAAATGTCATAGCTTATACTTTTTTAAAAAAGGAAAACTATTTCCTGGAGATAGTAAAAGGTGCTGGAAATAGAATAGAATGAATTGCTTATCATTATTTCCAGTGAAATGGCATATATCTATTTTAACTGTTCGTCCTTTCTGTCTCTTTAGGAAGTAAAACTCGGGAAGGTGTAGTACAAGGTGTGACTTCAGGTAATGTTTATTGCTGTTTCTCTTCTCCCCCAGCTTTAATCCTGAGTGGGCAATTGTATGAGAACAAGCCAATAAAACAGTGCCAATAAAACAGTGATATTGTTAAAATCATTCCCATAACTAAAGCTGGACAAAGTGTTCCATCTACTTCCACCTGTTGGCAGAACTGGCTAAAAGGACTAGCTAAGGTACAGTTAGTGTGCAACTTGACTCAGCTTGACACCAGGCTTTATATCTCATGTCAAAGTATACATTTCATAATTAGGCAGAATTAGGTCACATTTTTGAGGGGAAATTTTAGGAATTTTAAGAGATGGAATGGCTGCTTTAAATTACAACAAATCTTCAGGCAATCATTTTATAGCACATTTAGAATTCCAAAAATGCCCCCCCCCAAAAAAACCTATCAAACCTAACCCAAAACTACTCCCCTCCCCCGACCAAAGTTTCACTCACTTGGGGCAAAGTTTTCACTTGAGACCTACTGCTTTCCTGATAAGAGGCCAAGTAGTTTTGTACAGAACAGTAAAATAAATGACTTGCTTAAATGGTACAGAGTGTACACTTAAGTAGTGTCAAGTCTAGAAAAAGACATGTTTGCTGCAGGAAGAAGATAGACTTAATAGTGATAGCTTCTCTTCCATGGCCTTATACATATGCTTCTTCTTCTATCCGTCTATGATGAATAGACTGTATCATTGTATTGTAGTTGTACATTTGTACAGTACTGCCAAATTATGTTCCAAGTCAACATCTTTCTTAGCCAAGTTGTGAAAGGCCACATGTTGTACATCCAGTGTGAGCTAATTGTATGGTCTCATAAGACACAAGAGCTTTTTCTTTCTGTCTTTTTGGTTTTCTTAGTTGCTGAGAAGACAAAGGAGCAGGCATCACAGCTGGGTGGAGCTGTCTTTTCAGGAGCTGGCAATATTGCAGCTGCCACAGGACTGGTCAAGAAAGAAGAATTTCCCACTGATGTGAAGGTAGGCATCTTAATAAGAGCTATTAAGAATCAATCTAGGGGCAGGAGAATTTAAAAACTACCACAGAAAGAAAGGATAGATGACTCCAATAGACCTGAGTAACATTTGATATTGATATTTTGTTAATTTAATTCTTCAAAAGCTGAAGGTTTGCTATGTTGGTTGCATTCTCATTTGGGGATGAGGACCTATTAGGATGAGCAGGAAAAATGCAATGACATTCCAACAATTTTACATGACAGGATGCAGTATGCTTTGGATAAGAACCTATAACCATGGTGTGTAGGAATGGGAATGCATGTGTACAAGTGTCTTTGCATATATGGGTTGTGCAGTAACATATTACCACAATATGTGTGAAAATCTCTATCCCATCATTTGTGCAGAGTGTAAAAGGTGGTGATATTCGTTTAGCTCAGCATCACACATGGGGGGGGGGGGGGCGGGCGGGTTATGCTTCGTTTTTATAATTTGTTGGATGAATGTATACATTTGGACTGGCATGTGCTCAGAAGCACACCTTGTGCATCTTGAGGCTGAGAAAACCAAACCGTATTACAGAAATTGTCTGGCTGCTGCAGGACTGCCAATCTGAGAAAAAAAACTCTTGAATCTTGCAGCTGAGCTGCCAGTGAACCATTTGCTTCCAGCTTAGCTTAAAATAGCAACAGCTGAAGATGAAATGAGGCCATTGCATTCAGGCAGGAAGAGGCACGCTGCTCTACTCAGCAAGGGGGGGAAGGAGCCTATGAAGAGTAGTGTCAGACTGCCAGTCACAGGGCTCTTCCCGACAGCCATGTTGATGCTTTCCTTCCATCTTTGAGATGGGAAGAAACAACGTCATTCTTAAAAAACCGTGGATCCACAAGCCTATCTGTTACCACATCTCTGGAATTGAGACTGTTATTGCTGCTTTCACAGGAAGCAATGGGGGTCATTTTCAGGACAATTGCTTAGCAGTGAGCAATAGAGAAGCTGGCAGGCAAAGGAGGATGACATGGAGAGGGCAAGAGAGGCTGAAATCAATGGGTGGGAGGTTCAGCAACTGTTTTTAAGCTACCTCATTGAACAGACAGTGGCAAGGTGGGGGCTGTAGCTTTCCAGACTACCTATGAACACTTGAGGTAACACAGAAATGAATGCAGCTTTTTATAGATTTGTAAACAAACAAAAAATTGTGCCGTTCAATAAAACCAGGGAGTAAGACTAAAACCATTGACTGTTTCTCCTATAACTAATGCTTTACATATGTAAAGAACTTACAAATGGGAATGCTGACTTCATAGAAGAATTGTACTTGGTCATTCACAGGACCAATATTCTCTTGATCCAAATTGCACATGTACACCATGAGAGCTATCTCATTGGATGCTACAGTATAAGAGAAATGGCTTTGGAGACATGGGCCACAGCAGCTGGATAGAGTGGGTGGCCCTGCAACAATCTAACTGGTCAATCTAACAATCTAACTATTGCTGATTTCTGACGAAATTCTTCTGTGCATCTGGAATCTCTGCATGGATGTCTTTTACCATGTTAATTGAAAAACACTCCCAATGAGCTGGAACAGCTTGTCCTCACAACAAATCAGTGGGCATTCAAATATAGATGAACTCATTAATGTTTGAAAGTTGGGGGGGGGAATCTATGGCCCATATGCCAAGCGTGATTTTATGTACTTTGGTTATGTGCTGTGTCTCTGCCATTTCTCTAAATAATCCTAAACATTCTAGTCTTTTATCACAAAGAGACCATTTGAGTCCCCTGATCATTGCGGTTAGCATCTTCAGTGCTTTTTAAGCTTTCTTTCTGCATTTTAAAAGTGCAACTGGAACAGTCTATTATATTCAATATGCAGCTGAGCCATATAAGGTTATTAAAAGGTTAAAATACTGTATATTTTCAGTTCATTTCCTACTGATCCCTAGCATGGAATTTGCCTTTTTCACAGCTCCTGCACATCTTCCTTGAACTAGAGCCCAAACTGTTTTTTTCTGTTTAGTTCACACAGGTTATGTGAATTTGCATAGGGGTGGGTAGCTTGTCCAATGTACATCACTTTATATTTAACAGTATTTACCACTTGGTTAAGTTTTAAAAGATCCTTCAGGAACTGTTCTCAGTCATTTTTTGTTTTTATCCACCACATATCTGCAAATTTAGCCAGTTCCCTGCTCTATTATTAAATAAAGTTAATTTAAGAACAAGTTAAATTAGCTTTGATCTTAATGCAGATCCTTGAAGGACACCAGTTGAAAAAATTGACCATTTATTCCTACTCTCACCCCATTCCCATTAAATACACTCTCTGATGAGGAATATAGTGTTGATAGGATTACCTCCATTTACCTGCTGGCACTTTAAACAAGACTCTAAAACACTGAAATACAATTTACCTTTGTAGAATCCATGCTAAAAAAAATTTCAGCAGGGCTTAGTTGTTTTTTCTTTTATTACCCTTCCTGCCCATTTTTCAGGAAATTAATACAGCTTAATTGCATAATAAAGATATCAGTTCTATAACTATTTTAGCAAAAACAAATGCAAAGCATTCATTCATTCATTCCAGATTCATGCAATCTTATACCTTCCTTGAACATCCCAGTGAAAAGAAGGATGTGACTGGCTAACAATGCCAATTCATAAGATAAGTGGAATACCTGATTACTATTAACTCTGCTCTAAATGATCTTCCATCATACAATAACATATAGAAGGACAGAGTACATCATTCTATCAAACAATGGCTGGTTTGCATAACATGTTAAGCTAACTTGTGAATTAGATACTGCAAATCCAACCAGGGTTGTTAAAGTATAATTCATGTAGATATCTAAACATTTCCAGTAAATTATTGTTAACCGTGTTTGGTATGTTGTACAAATACAGCCATTACTTTCTCCACTCTCATTATTCCTCATTACCTAGTCTTTTAGTTTCTAAGTATTTTTAAACATTCCTGTAAAATATATGCTGCTTATGAAATTTCATGATAGTATAGTTTATGGGAAAAGAGACAATCCAGGAGTGGGAACTGTGAGAAGAGTTTCAAAAAGACTGATTATAACTTTGCCTGGGCATTTACTCTTATGGTTTTATAGATTATGTTTTTGCCCCAATCTAGCAATTAAACATGTATTTCTGAAATCCATGTGATGCTTATTCCTTTGTTTGCCAATTATTTAGGCTTGATAAATTAATTGTTTGAGGAAACCTTCAGAGGACATTTTGGAAGTGCTCTGGCAGAAATAAGTAATATTGGCTGTCCTTTTTCATTTGCAGCCCGAGGAGGTTGGTCAAGAAGCAGTGGAGGAGCCTCTGATAGAGCCACTGTTGGAACCCGAGAGTGAGAATTATGAAGAGCCACTGCAGGTCAGTGAAGCAGAATTAGGGCAAACTGATCACAAAATGGGAATGAGAAATTCTGGGGAATAAAGGGAATACAGGAGTTTAGTCTTCTATGTCCCTACCACATCCCAAGTCCTGCTGTCTACTTCATCATGGTGGTGGGAGTTCCCTGGGAGATTTGAACCAGGAATGATGGGTATATATGCTAAGAGTATGTTGTCCGAATAGAGCATGAAGATTATCCTAGCTGTCATGCTAAAGCAAGCAGGCACCTTTATTGGGCAGAAGCAATATAGGAAGTTACTGGAAGCAGTAATAACCATCATTTCATAAAGTGAAGAAGGCACTGGTAAACTACTCCTGTTTTTTTAACCAAGAAAATCACATGCATTGACTAGATAAAATGACTGATAATTTACCAGGCTGATCAGATAACTCACTACTGAAGAAGGGATGAAGCTCTTTTTGGAGTACTAACAATGTGGATTAAAGGTTTCCAGACATTTAGTTACTGATACTGCCATAAGGGGGGGGGGGGGGGAATCCAAAGCTACAAAGAAAGAATTACAGTGGGAACATGGCATATATGAAACATAAACATGGAAAAGTTGAACAGTGAAAGATGAAATTAATCAACAGTGACATCTTAGATATCACAAAACTGAAACAGGGTGCAATTGTGAACTTTCAGCCAGTATATCATGTTTATTATTCAGGACATAAAAAAAGGCATCGCTTTCATAATTATGAAGGATATAGCAGAGACAGTATTGGGATATAATGAGTAAATGACCGAAGAATACAAAGTAGACTTCATGAACAACTCTTTAATGTGATATTCTCCAAGTTTATGTTCCAACTACTGATGCAGAAAAAGAGGAGACTAATGAGTTTTATGGTCAAGTTGAATTTGAAATCAATAGAACATGTAAACAAGATGTGCTGCCTTTGACGAGAGACTGAAATGCCAAAATTTGAATCAGTGAGGAAAATGTGTCTGGAGTTAGAAAGTAGAAATTAAGGAGAATGATTTACCAATTTCTGGCAATCCAATGATATCTTTATTGGTAACATTGTTTAAATGAAATTGAAATTATATACATGGAATAGATCACAAACTGTTCATGTGCAAATTACACAGAGAAGAACAAAGCCAATCAACTTCCACAATATGAATTTGAGCTCACTATTTTCAAGAACATTAGGAATTGCTATGAAGTCCCAAACCTAATGGGGAAAAAATTAAGAGGAAATATGGGTTGAAATCAAATACATTGTTAAGGATAAGGCTGAAGAGACTTAACATTTTCTTCATCTCCAGTTTGCTTCCCTATGATAGAAAGTTTTTTGACTCCTGAGCAATTAATCTGTCTTGAATTTGCTTCTCTTGTATAGTTAAAATATTGATCTCTGGTTTTAGAATAGCATTTTTGTATAAAAATCTTATAAGACATCAGGAGTCATTTTTCTTCTTTTGCAAATGTGGAATTTATCCTGAAAATGTGTTAATATTTGGAAAATCCCTGCATCAAAGCTTTATGGTGTCTTTCAAAATATCCTTTTTTGAACTCTTCTGAGATGCCTTTGAATTTTAATTGATGAAATTTCAGTTTATCCTTTCTATTTTCTGGCATTTTTGCTCTTAGACTTCCAACTGTGAGATTCTCTTGCTTTCCTTTTAATTATTTAATTTGTGTAACTTGAATATTCATTGCAGTGTTCCTAATCTCTGTTTTAAAATCAGATTCATTCTCATATCATTCTCATATCTTCATTTTCTATTTTTAAATCAAGTTCCATATCCTCCATTATATTCATCCCTGTTTCTGGTATTTAAAGTTTTCATTCCAGTCCTGATATTTCGATAATGAGATGGGCAGCATATAAATTTAATAAATAAATATCTGGGTTGCTAGTTTCTTGAACATTTGATTGAGCATGTCTGAGTCGGATTCTTCTTCTCATTGCCTTTCTTCTTCCTTCCTTGTCTCCCTTCTTTCTTTGTTATAAAATATCTTCCATAACAGTATTTGCTTAGTAGATCTCTATATCCAACCACTATTGTTTTCAGGTTTAAGTAAAATGGTAAGTTCTTATTCTGATTTTTTATATTTTTTTTACCAACTTCCAATAAATATCCCATTGTAAAACTTCTACAGTATTTCTATCTCATCTCTCTGCCAGTAATCAGTCTTTCTACGTTTTATACAGAAAAATAAGAGAAATAGCTGAAATGACACTTCTTTGTTATGTGGATGCTCAAAGGCAGCTTACATCTAGTTGGTTATTCAATTGTCATTATTTTCTATCAATCGCAGGCATTCACAGAAGTAGATCTAACTGCTACTTGAGCTCAGTGGAATCTGTTTCCCCAGTATTTTCAGTTCTGGAGCACATCTTAGTTCTGGAGTGCATTCTTTTTTAAAGAAAAGTTTGTCTCACCATAATATTGCTGTTGTGCTGCAATCAATTCTCTTCTCCTTTTATTCCAGCCTCGGAAATGTTGTGAAAAGTAGTCAAAATAATTGTATTTATAAAGATTAATGAAGGAAAATAGTTGGCATTATAAAATCCAATAGAGGGGAATGGAAATTCAATGGTTGATTGATTGGAGATTATTTGAATCTTTCTGTCAAAGAAAAGAGAGGGGGGGGAGTATATGCTTGCATGGGAGTTGGCAATGTGTAGCATTGGAAATTGATATTGAAAAAATGTACCTGTATGGGTGCTAGATAATGAAAAATATGGGCTGTGTGAGACCAGAAATCCCCTGGCTTTGCTTTCTTAGATTAACCTATGGCTTAAGAATCTAAGGAGTAATAAAAATACCACAGACTTCAAAGTAGGGAGAAGATTCCTGTCAGGAAGCCATCACTGCCCCTTTAAACTGCAGCATTAAACCAAAATTAATTGCAAACAAAATGGCGGGGGGGCATTAATCATTAAACCTATATGGAATTATTTTAGTAAAAGGACAATTTTCAACAAGCTCTGAACATATAAAACTTATGTTGTTTACAAGAAACACATAAAACAATACTACATCACTTCATTAAAACAGAAAAACTTACATCAAGAATAAATAGCATCTGGAAAAAAACAGAATATTTTTAAAATCTTCTTGTTAAGAATTATTAAAAAAACAAAATAAGATAAAAATGGACAAATTTTAATCTTGAAACTGAAAAAAGACAAAAATTTAATTCAGAAAATTGTATGAAAATAATATTTATATCCTAATAGAAACTGCAGAGGGTATAATAATCATTGTTAAAAATATGAATAGAATGCTACATTTTAATTTAGTCAAATCAGCTAAAAGGAAAAGAAAGAAGGAAAGCTCCAAGAAAGCTCTTCCAATATATGGTCACAAGGGAAGCAGCATATATAATCCTAATGCGTGCGCAGTATGCGTGCACACACACACACACGCACACGGAATAACCCAAAGAAACTTCACTCTTCCAAATTAATTTCTTTATTGAATGTGGACTATATTGACAGAGTGCACAAGAAAGTGCATAGGGAAGTGAAATGATATACATAGAGCAGGCAGATTATATTCCAAAGAGGAAGACGAACAAATTTATTATAAATGCACTAGATATATTAACATCAACATTAAAAAGACAGAAATATTTTCAGATGTGAATAAAGCCTTCAACAATTGGAAATCAGTTTTGCGGGGATGTTCTAGGTTGAATGAACTCCAGTGAAGAATTCAAAACTTTGGTGGAGAGCATATATCAGCAGCAAGCAGTGAAGATTATGGCAATTGCAACACTCTCTGCAAACTTCTCAATATGTAAAGATGCATTGGCAATGAGGTCCACTTTCCCTTTTACTATTTGTAGCCTTTTTGGAAGTCCTAGTAAACATGATCTAAAAAGATAAAACAAATAACCAAGATCTGAATTCAAGGAGAATACAAGAATAAAATGCTATAAAGATAATATAGTATTAACAATTATACAACTACAAACTCCATACAACAATTGATGTAAGTAGTTAGTAGTAGTAGTAAGTAGTTAAGAATTACTTACATCAATTGTTGTATGGAGTTTGCAATTGGCTGCATTAACATATAAAGATGGATTTGGGGGAAAATAGATATTTATTTCTCATCTTACGGGGTGAAGAATTATGTTTGTTTATATTTGTGGTGGTGATTAAAGAAAAAAATAACTTCTTTAAATATATTTGTCCTTTTTTCTTACATTTCCCCTTTTCTTCTCTTGAATCTTTTCTTCCATATTCTCTTTTTTTCTCTTAGTTGGTTTTGGCTTATTCTACTGTAATTAAAATTTTCAGTAAAAATAGTTTTTAGAAATACATATAACCAATCACTTTACCCGCCATGTTTAAACGCAAGAGGCTTTTGTAACTAGGCAGTTCTGTTGAGTAAACCATTATAGTTGATAGGATAAAGATAGAAAGTAAAAAGTAGAAGAGTGGATCTGTAGAGCAAGCTTCTCTGTTATCTGATCTAGAGATGGGTTATTTTGTCTCATGTCTTATATCATCTAGTACGATTAATGTTTTCAATTTCTTTTCAGGAGGAATATCAGGATTATGAGCCAGAAGCATAATGGCCACAGCTGTTCCCGACACTTCCACCAGCAGCACAATAACAATAATTTCTTCTTCCCTATCCACATCCATCTCTCCAAGGGAAGATCTTGATGCAGATGCTAATGGAGAGAATCCCCCATACCCCATCCTGTCATGAGTTCTTCCTCCAGTTCTGCTCCAAGAGACCTCATCAGGATCAGTGTTTTATGTATTGTGGTCTTTAGCGTTAAAGAGAAAGAATACTGAAGACAAACCGCGACTGCAGTGGTTTGTGTACATGTGTACATTTTAAAGCCCGGCCTTACTGCCTGTCTCCCTCCCAGTGCAGTAAGGCCAGATTTCATGTGTCTGTAAGCAGCATGTTGTATCTTCTCTGTTTTTAAACAGAGCACTCCATGTCCTTGACTGGGACCTTGCACTGGGCCCACTGTACATTTGCTTGCACGTGAATCATGTCAACTCCGTTCCATTATCATTGGAACTTTTTTTTTAAAAGAAGATCTCTGTCCTGGTCATGTAAAAGAGACTTCCTGATTTTAACGGTGCAGAAGTTGTGTCTATGTATCCTAAACAAAAGGAGCATCTTTCCTTTCCTGCCCCCAGCACTCTGTATATTTGACTGTGGCATGGATATATACCTCCCACTGTCGCTGTGTGTGCAGTCCTGGGTTGCTGCCAGTGATGCAGCTACCCATCTCCATGAATAAAGCCAATTCTTGACTGTAGCTGTTTTTCTGCTTCCACGTGGTTCATAGGTCAAGAGGGAGAGCAGTTAACCTGTGCTTTTCTGAGAACAAGGTAGTTTTCAATGGGCTAAGTGTCCACATTGCTGACCTTTCAAGGCTTTGAGAACAGTATATTTTGTAATGTCTAAGGGAAGCAGATGATGTTGCTTCTTACAAACTAACACAACTTCAGTGATTTTTTTCCAAATTAAAGTATAAGCAATCAGTAAGTAAAATGGAACATCCATTGGAAATGCTGAAAAAGCCCCTTCAGCAGGTATGTTTTTTTCATCCTAGATGAATAAGCTACAGGTCTTAAAATTGAACTGCCAATATTGTATCCACCTCTATTGTGCAGTCATACTTGAATCAGAACTCTATACGGTACAAGATTTTAAAAAATAAACTGTAAAGGTAGAAAACACATAGAAAATAGTCAAAGGACAGAAATACCTTTTCTGAAAAATTGTAACATTTAGGGCTTAGAACCTTATGGAAAGAAAGTAAGGAATATAATTATGCATGGTGCAGAGAAAATAAAAATATTTTTTCTCCTTCTCTTATAAAAATAGAATCTAGGCACTTCCATTGAAGCTGATTTACGGGAAATTAAAGATAGATACAACGTAATTTATAAAATGTTCTGTCACAAGAAACAGTAGTTTAGACTACTTTTTGACACAAATTCATTGGAAATGTTTCGTTAGATATCATTAAGCCATAAAGCAGCTTCAGTCCCATAAGCTATCACTAGGCAACCATTATCAGAGAAGGAAAGTATTTGCATTATTGTATTTATTGGCTTCTCAGAGGCATCTGATTGGTGATTGCTAGAGACAGGATGCTGTACTAGATAAGCCCTAGATCTGATCCAAGAGAGCTATTGTAGTTTAAAGATAAACATGTCAACACACACACACACCCCTATTCGGCCTTAAAATATTAGGGCAACACTGTCTTCTGAGATAATAATTATTAGAAATTAATACAGTCCAGTTAACATCAAAGCCTGCTTATAAGTAGTTGATCTAGTATCCAATTCCAAAACAGTTCCACTGCCATTAATTAAGAATAATGCTATTCATGTGATTGATGAAGATGGTATATAATAAATCTTGATTAAAAAGATATTTTACTTACTTTTAGTGGGAAAATCACGCTTCAGAAAAACTGCCACAGGGCAGAAAAATGTGTGCCTTCCACTTTGAAATGAGATAAAATTTAAAGTCTTTTTAACCACAAAATCTATTTTTGTGGCTTGAAATCCCTAACAATTTACCAATATCCGAATAGTTGCTAATAACAATATTGTAGCTGCTAATTTTCATGTTATTTTGTTAAATTATAGATGGCTTAATAATTTGTGGAGTTTCTTATTACAACTTTTATTTTAAAATCAATACCAATCTTACATTGTCTCCCTTTCCTGTGATAAAGCTTTCTCGATAAACATTCCAGTTTCTTCCAATTTGTCTATTTGTCTGAGATACATACATATCAAGATTACAGACCTATATGTTATCCCTGAAAGTCTTAGAATGATGGTTGTATGTTTGATATTTTAAGATATATTACTTTGTTTAGCAATTCTGAATTGCCCTTTTGAATCCTGTATGTTCTTTTGCATTTTTAATCCCCACAATTGTCAAGAAAAACATGTATTTCCTGCTTAATTGATGATTCCACACACAATATGACAGCATGTTGTGCAATTTGTCTTGCACAATTTTAGCCCCTACTATAATGTCGCATTTAAGACTAGCAATTAAACTACTAAACGAAATAGGCACAAGGTTGATTACTAAATGATTTCATAGATTATCAACTTTAACTTTGATTTTCTAGAAAAAATAAAAAATAATTTAATTTATTCATTCATAATGTGACCTATCAGAACCTATTTTCTTGCAATTTGTTAAAGCCCAAAATACACAGCAAAGAAAACAAAAGAACTGGAAAATATGTTCTATCAATGAAAGTATTGATATAATGGATGAGATGGGAAATTTGTGACAGTAAAATGGCCCATGTAACAAAATTTTAATTTGAAGAGGCAGGTAGGAGACTGAATAAACTGTCAGGATGATGCCTCAGTGATAAACCTGATATTAGTTTACAATAATCACAAATGTTGCAAAACCAACAATATTAACTAAATAATTAGTGTTGTAAAAGTGACCCCTCAGCGAATTGAAACTTAATATTAATCAGTATGTAAATAAAATTAAAATCTTAAGTGGAATTGCTAGAGAAGTAAAATGTTATTTTTTTTTTGTTTCCTTGTCCCCAATCTTTGCATGTCTTTAACAATTAAAAGGAAAAAGGATTTTAGAGCTGCCTCACAGAAGAGGCAATGGATGACTATATACATGCATTTATCAAATTGAGAAGCCTCAGATCCTATTCTGAATTGCAGATATTTCCAGCAATCACGTGCTCTCATGACTACTGTACAAAACTGTCAAATGAAACTTAGATTTCTCAGAGCCTGAATTGGCCTCAAGCTCCTCTATGAGTGAAGTAATGGAAGAAAAAAAAAACATTGGTCTCCATCTGTGGAAAAGGCTCTGTTGCTGCCATGCAGGATATATACTTTTATGAAAAATGGTAGTGATTTATAGAGAATTGGTCTGGAGGAGAAGGGAAGAACATTCACCAGAGATTATCAACATCACCCATGATAAAGACTGACATGTGAAAAAAAGTGAAGCAGTTCCCAAATGGGAATATACAGCTAGTCCTTATTTAGCAACCACAATTGAAGCCAGCACTTGGTTGTTAAGCAAAGCAGTTGCTAAGTGAAACTGCAACTATACTTATGACCATTCTTCGGCTTTTCTTTGCTTTATATACCTGTAAAGATCATAAATGCAAGGACTGGTCACAAAGTTGATAGATTGTTGTAATGTATTCTACCTGGGACTGCCCTTGAAGAGGATCCAGGAACTTCAGCTGGTGCAGAATGCAGTTGCCAAGGCAGTTATGTGTGCCTTTAGAATGGTACACATTACATCTCTGTTCTGCAAACTGCATTGATTACTAGTTTTCAAGATGCAATTCAAGGTGCTGATTTTGACCTTTAAAGCTAATGGTATGGGACCAAATTTATCTTAGGGACTGTCTCTTCCTGGTTACACCTACATGCCCCATCAAGTGCAATAGAGACATGCTGTTTGTGAAGGAGGTTCCACCTGACAGAACCCAGGAGATGTGCCTTTTATATTATAATTCCTGCCCTCTGGGACACCATTCCCACCTGAGATGAGATTAGTCCATCCATTAGCCATCTGGAAAGTCTTGACAACATGGTTTTTCTATTAGCCTGAGAATCAAATGGCAAGCCTGCAAACTGATTCAGTGAAGCTACAGGACGGCTGTCCTCTTGCCATTTGGGGGTTCTTTTATGTGTTACTCCTTTACGTTATTATTATTATTAATTTATGCCTGATTTTTATAGTGATACGGCTTTAATTATTATTTTCCTTGTAAGCCATCCAAAGTAACTTTTTACTTTGGGTGGCTATATACAAATTTGCTAAGTAAATAAAGTTACCTTTTCAGCAATGTGGTAACTGAACAGTTGCTTAACAAAGATTGTATTAGGCATTCTGAAGTCAAAGATGCTAGACCCATGGCTTTTCTGCACAGCTTAAGTGTTGATTTCAAATCTGAGAATAATTGGGCATATGAAGAATGGGAGCTGCAGTTTATCAGTGAGCAGGACAACAGTTGTTATCAAATTCCTAAAGAGAATGATAAAAGCTCATTCTTTTAACACTAGTCCTGTTTCCGCATTTAATTCAGGGTGTCATTTATTAAACAGACTTTCCTTATTGAATGAAGTCCAACACTTTGGCATCAGTTTTCTAATTTAAAACTGAAGATTAAAATCATTTATAGGCAGTCCTTGACTTATGACCACAATTGGAACCAGAATTTCCATCACTAACAAGGTAGTTATTGAGTCATGCTTGATTTTACTACATTTTTGCCATGCTCATTAAGCAAATCACTGTGGTTCTTAAGTGAATCATGCATTAATTCAGTGAATCTTGTTTTCTCCATTAGCTTTGATTGTTGGAAACTGGGAAGGTGTCAAATGGCAATAAAGTGACCCTGGAACACTGCAACCTTCATAAATACATGCTGGTTGCCAAGTACCAAAATTTTGATCAGGTTATCACAGGAGATGTTGTGATGGTTGTAAGTGTGAGGACCACATAAGTCACTTTTTTCAGTGCCATTATACCTTTGAATGTTGTTAAGCAAATGATTTAAGTTGTTGTAAGATGGATGTAAGATGGATGGTGGTATAGAAGCATAGCACAATACCAGGCATAGAGTTAGAAGCACAGTAAGTAAGATATCTTGTTCTATTCTAATACCAAGTCGTTGATCTCAACATGGGAAATCCATGACAGCTGTTTTTTTTTAATCCTAAAACGACACAATGCTGTCTGAGAAGAAGTGCTGGTACTGTGCTGCAGATGCTTAATGGTTGACAATCTGGAACAACAAATCGTAACTACTGAGCTTCGGTGTTGTCAATATGTTTTGTCAATACTGAAGACACTGAAATGCCTTCACCATTACATCTTGATGGAGGAAGTAAGGTCTGTCCCCACCCTTCTGGCCTTCAGGAAATGCCTTAAAACTTGGCTATGTGTTCTGGTTGGATGGGGCCCTGAAGGAGGAACTGTTGGCTGGAAATAGCTAGTGTAGTAACAGAGAGGCCACCGCCACCTCTCTGCTCCAGACCCATGTTT